ATTGTTTAAACAATACTCGAGCTAGGTCACCTGTGTTGCGGCTTCTTTTCGCTAATATATGTTTTTAAAAAATATATTTTCAAGCAGGATTACTCAGTTTTACTTAGAATTACTTTGGGTATTCTTATTTTATGATTTTAAAAGTACACGAGCTTGATAACCTTGGGTTACTACTTTGGTTTGTTTATTTATGTATTTATATCTTTTAATAAATTTTTCTACCGCGTATTCTAATAAATTTCTATACGTAAGTTTTTTAATAATTTGAATTACGTGTATACCGGGGATCAAGATCGCTGCAGCAGTTGGTAGTGTGACATGCGCGCGCATGCCGTCGGCTGCGCAGTGCGCTTGTACTTTCTCTGGCCATCTAATTTGCACAACTCTGGAGACAGACGATATGCCGAAACCCACGTGCTGCGAGTGGTGGCGTTACTGTACACCTATAGCCGTGTAAACAAACAAATTTCTGCTGGATGTACTCTAACCAAAGAATAAAACGAGTATCAATAAATGGCGCTACGGACTTATGAAAGTCTCGAGATTCATGACAGATTGGCCACGATATATCTTTGAGTCGTTTCATTCATTTTTTCTAAATAATCGTAAAAGTATCGGTACTAAATAACCTGTACATCACGGTACAGTTAACATTTTAAAATTCCGATCACGGCACTGGAAAGCCGAGGATAAATCCTATCAAAAAAGTCATTGGAAAAAAATTTTTTTTTTATATTTTAGGTGCCTTTCCCCCCTTAACTAAATACCGCTTCGATTATTTTGATACACAAGGATTTCCGCTTTCTCCAGATATTTTTTGTTTCTTTTTTTACTGCTCGGTAAAATAATTACAAGTACTTTTACCATCCAACTTTAAAATGTAAAGTATATGGGCGGTCGCTTTGTTTTGCCTCCAGGCAAATCAGCTGGTCGTTTTTTGACAGTTACTGACGACTGTGAAAAAGCCCTATTATAACATATTAAGTTTATAAGGTATTGAGTCTTAAATAGTAATCTAATTCAGAGAAAATGTGTTACACATTTGAGATTATGAACTTCAAACATATACACCACAAAAATGAAACTGATTTGGTCAAAATGAAAGTAACTGTATCTAGAACAAAAAAAGTACTTACGTTTTTTTCATTTAAATGCTGTCTTCGTACAAAAAGCTCCTGGCTTTTTTTTAAGAGTCCATCAAATTCCTCGTTATAGCTGTTTTCTTTTGTTTTAAGTTGATCACAGATTTGTATCATGTATTGTCGATAATTATTTCTCATTTCTTCGACAGACAAATTCAGGATAATCTCGTCGAAAATGATTTTTTTCGAACGAGCTAAGGTTGTCGATTCAATTTTAAGAAATAATTTTTCCATTTTATTACAGGTTAGCTAGACTGCTCTATGTGCTTGCTAGATGGCTACTGAGACTCGAGCCATGTCTCTGCAGTACTAGGCTGTGTCTCTCGCAAGTTGTAACTGCGCGCGCATCCTACGCGCGTCGAAGCTCGCGCCATCTTTTGATTAAATCATTAACTTTTTTTGAAAAAATGGTGTTATCCAGAAATCCAAAAATCGCTCCAAAAATTATGAAAAAATTCAGACATGTTCTTTGATCAATTCTAAACCTTTTTTGTAATATAACTTTTTCTCGTCAAATTGATGATTATCGAGTTAAAAATTGTCGAAATCATTTTATGACATACAGGTCTTCGGGAGTCAAATTTATGATCACCATTTTGAATTTCGTAATTATAACTGTTTTACAATAAAGTATACAAGCCATTGACCAAATTTATATGCGTGAGACGCACGCGCGAACTTTTTTTCCGAGTTGAAATTTGAGTTAAACGAGATTTTTTCTCGAAATTTCATGTTTTTTTTTACAAAATTGTTTATAATTTTTTATTTAATAATTTTATTGTAATTCAGACTCCGGATTCGAAAAGTGCATTAAATTTTACGTGAGAAATGATGTCTGAAAAGTTTTTAAAAGTTATTTCTTCCTCTGTATCAATTAAACTTTCTCCATCTTCGGTTTCACCGATGAGCAGAGTTGTCTGTTTCTCTTCATTCATCAAACTTTCTTCATTCAGAGTTATTTCTTCCTCTGTATCGATTAAACTTTCTCCATCTTCGGTTTCACCGATGGGCAGAGTTGTCCGTTCCTCTGCGTTCATCAAACTTTCTTCATTCAGAGTTATTTCTCTTCACCGATGGGCAGAGATACGTCTTCCTCTGTATCGATGGACAGAGTTGTTTCTTCTTCTGTATAGATTAATCATTCTTCATCGTCAATTTTATCGATGGAGTGAGCTTTTGTCTTCATATATATTTATGTGGCGACCCACTTCAGAGCGTTCGCACATATATATTTTTGATGAGTCGCGATTGTTTAATAATTACGTTTTGTCTGTTACTTGGGAGATCTAAGAAAATTTTGTTTGAGCCTCAGTTTGGTTGCGCCAGTCATAGAGAGAAGATCTCAATAAATTCATTAACCGTTGTTCAATAATTTATTGATAGTTTCATTATTAATCATTACATTTATATCACATACATGTAAACTATCAAAATGATTATATTAAATTTTGCACATTCTGGCTGCGACTTAGCGAGCACAGTACTATAAAATGTTGTACGATACTCGTGGCATGGGGACACTTTTCGGCCCAGCTATTAGGACCCTCGCTGCGCTCGGGCCCTAAACTACGCCGTGCCAAAGAGTGTTACTTATGGCACTCGGGAACAAGGAATGCCTTGAGGCGCTGATAAAATACGGGGCTAAAATCGATCACGTAGCCGTAGAAGGAGAGACCGCCCTGACGTGAGTTTTTTTTACCTTATCGCGTATACTTTTTCCAATCGATTTATTCCATTCGTTAATTTTTCTTTCTCTCTTTGCAGTGTCGCTGCGGACTACAATAAAGGTGACTGTGTCCAAGTGCTGCTCTTGAATCACTACTTAAAAGTGCCAAAAGGTTGGTTGTTAAGGAGAAAGAGAAAGAGAGAGAGCGGCTGGCGACTTGTTTGTACATATTGTGTAAAATATTTATTGTAAATTTAAGATGTAAATGAATTTTTTTCAAATAGTTACACGATCGCTGTATTTTTTTTTCAATTGACATAAAATTTTACACCCTTATAAAAATTCCCTACAGGGTCCCGCGAAATTCCTGCTGGAATCCTATAGGACTCCTGTAGAAATTTCGCGGGATCCTATAGGAAATTTTCATAAGAGCAATAATTACTTCTCTCGTTATCGATTAATTCGATACATTAAATTACTTCTATACAGAGTCAATTGCACGAAACGTGCTTTTTTTGTCAAGAAATTCTACCCTAGGGCTGTGCGAATATCCGATTTTTCGAGTTTTACTCGACTCGAACTTGACTCACCGAGTTCGAGTCGAGTCGGGAAAATTCGAGTACTCGAGTTTTTTCGAATACTCGATTTTTTTTCGAGTACTCGAGTTTTTTCGGGTACTGTATAGTGGTGGACCTTGAAAGACAACCACAAGGACGTGTTCGAGTTACTTCTTAGACACGGAGGGATCCTAATACGACAGACGAGGATGGATCGAGTCCTCTTCACGTCATTTGCCAAAGAGGTTACGATGACGACGCGGCGCAGTGGTTCTTCAAGATCTGCGACGACGTCCAGCAGACATTACAGATTGACGCGAAGGATAAGTCGGGTCGAACATCGCAGCAATGGGCTGTCGCCAATCTACTACCGAGAACCAATTACGCGTTGTTTATCGTCAATATTCTCGAAAGGAGAGGATACGAGCTGTGCCGCGGCGACGCCCTGACGGTCGTCGAGTTGCTCGCGCGTCCGGGCATGACCCGCAGACATTCCATCTACACGGCCGAGGTCGACGGCGACAAAGACGACTGTTACGGGTGCGGGACCAATAGATACAGGCCGAAAAACCGATGGTGTTGCGCCGACTGCTTGTTTCAGATGTTGAGGAGATTCTTGCGACGCTATGGGCGATCGAATTTCTGTCGACGTCGAGGTGTCCCGGACTGCCGATACACTGCTGCGAGAAGATGGTCGATGAGCTGGAGAACGAGGATTTTAGATCCATTTGCCTAGCGGCCTCTGGTCAAGATAAAGAATGAATCGAGTAGTCAACTGTATTCGCTTGATTAAAAATGTTTTGTAAAAAAGGTGTAATCTATGGCTGCAAACTTTTTTAGAATGTAATATTCTGTAAAAGTATTTTATTTGTCTAAAAAATCTATTGTTTTCTTTGACTTGTGGAAAAATTAATATTCTCAGTCAAGTCCAAGTTATAAAAGGTAAAGAATAAAAACTTGTATGTTCGATTGATTTGAAACAGAAATATATAAATAAATAGCGACAGATGGTTGAATCACACTTCTGTTCTGAAATGTGAGATACGGAGGTTAATAGGTTAATCAAGATTAGGCCATACAATGAGTCTTTTTGTAAATAAAGATCTATTTACATAATATTTAAGTAATTTACTTGTATGTATGTCGAACACATGTTGTTGATAAATCAATAAAAAACATATTATGCTATAACACTCCAATTGTTTATTAACAAAATTATTATAATCATAAACATTAATCGTTACATACGCTAAGTCAAAATAACAAATTTTTAATTCTAATTTTACTTCAAAAATAAGTTCAAAACTAACCGATTAAAAAAAGTATCTAAACTATTCAAACCATTTGTATTCTTTTTAAATTCAGCAAACACAATTTTTCAAAAAAGCTATCTAATATTCATTTTAACTACTTGTTTTCTTGTTAAATCTATCAAAACACTATTAATTAAAAAACTATCTAATATTAATCAACTTTTTGTTCTGTTTATAAATTTTTCAAACACAATTTTTCAAAAAAAAAACTATTTAACATTCGTTTAAACTACTTATCTTATTAAATCTATCGAAAAACACTATTATAATTAAATAAAGACAAAGACTAGGTGGGTGTGCGCGTACAGCCCAACTTGGTTCTTCAGGACATCGTCATGGAAAATATCCCTACTTCTTCTCCCTCGTCCTCTTCGTCGTCGTAGAGGTCGTCTTCGCTCAAGCAATCGATGTGTCGCACCGTCGACTCGTCCTTCCTCACCAGGCTGCGATCGGCGCCCCTCTTCACCAGTACTCTGGCCACTCTGTCCAGGCCGTGAGCCACCGCCAGCTGCAAGGGCGTCTCGCTGAACTTGTCCACGGCGTCGAGCTGGACCTGCCTGCCGTTCTCCTGGCACAACTCGAAGAACGTACCCAGGAATATGGCCAGCTTGTCGTCGCAGTCTCGCTCCTTCAGGCAGATTATGTGCAGGGGCGTCGAGCCGTCCAGGTCCGCGACGTTGGGATCCGCGTTGCGTATCAACAGCATCTCAGCCAGCTTCTTGTTGTCGCGCGCCAGCGCGTAGTGCAGCGGCGTCCTGCCTAGCTTGTCCTGCGCGTCCAGCAGCAGCGGCTCGCGCAGACCCGCCTCGTCGCAGATCGCGAAGAAGAGTCGCGCGAACGTGTCGTCGTGGGGCTCCTCGACCACGCAGATGATGTGCAGCGCCGTCAGTCCGTCGGCGTTGGCGAGATTAGGATCCGCGCCGCGCCTCAGCAGCAGCTCGGCGACCTGACCGTGGTGGCACATCAGGGCGTAGTGCAGCGCCGTGTTCAGCGACTTGTCCTGGGCGTCGACGTGCAGCACGACGTCGTCGCCCACCTCGAACAGCTGCCGCGCCAAGCCCACCGCCTCGTCGTGACTCTTGCTGACGCAGTGCAGCGGCGTCGTGCCGTCCTTATTGGCGATGTTGCGATCTGCCCCGCGTTTCAGCAGCATCTGGAAGACCGTGGCGTTGTCGCAGAACACCGAGTAGTACAGGGGTGTGTTGCCGAGCTCGTCCTGGACGTCTATTCGCACTCGGTCGTTGCTGATGTCGAACAGCACCCTGGCCATGCCACCGTCGTGGTCCCTGATGCCGATGATGTGAAGCGCGGTGAGACCCTCGACGTTGGGCTGATTCGGGTCGGCTCCGCGCCTCAACAGCACCTCGGCCAATCTCTGCAGGCCGTGGGCGACGGCCAGCTGCAGCGGCGTCTGACCCAGCTTGTCCCTGATGTCGGCCAGCACCTCGAGCTCCAGCTCGTCGCAGATCTTGAAGAAGCCCTCGAGCAGGCCCACGTCCTCGCGTCCGTTATAGAATTCGTTGCGGCAGATCACGTGCAGCGGCGTCAGTCCCTCGCCGTTCGCTAAATTCGGATCCGCTCCGCTTTGAAGCAGCAGCGCGGACAGGGCCGGGTTCTCGCGGCGCAAAGCCAGGTGCAGCGGCGGATCGTCGTATTCGCGGGCGGCCGCGTCGACCAGCGGCACGAAGCTGTTCGGGTTCTGCCGGCCGCGTTCGAGGAATCGCGCGCACACGTCGTTGCAGCCGTACTCGCAGGCCAGGCGAAAGTGCGTCACGCCGCTCGCCTCGTCCCGGTAATTCACCTCGGATTCCGCGTAAATTTGAAAGAGATCGACGACGGCTCGGGCGAATCCGCGTTTGGCCGCCAGATGCACCGGTGTGGTGCGAAGTGGATTGTCTTTGTTCGCCGGCGCGTCTTTGTAGCCTGTGTTGATAACGAATTTGACGAGTGGAAATTCGACGTTGGCCTCGGACTCGTCGTCGCTTTTGCTCGTCACTTCCTCGGCGATGAGCCAGTCGATCTCTTCAGGACGAAAGATGTCTCGTAGATCCGGAAGTTGGCCCTTCCAATTTTCAATCACGGGATAAAGTTGACGAAGAAAATTGCGTCGTTCGTCCACCATATCCCAATCGACCTCTGCACGCATGGCTTTCAATTTTTTCACGCTTATCATGTTGTTACCCATCGTATATCGTTCGCTGCACACCCTCGCGCGCGCGCGAACACACACTAAAACAACGACACACGATCACTTGTGTATTAAATTTCGAAATAATTGTTCTTTCGCACGAGAGAAAAAAAATCACACAATCTCTCTGCACGGTCGCGATGCGATGTTGCGTGAGATAATCCTCTCTTTGTTTATATTCTGCGAGAGGCGAGGCGAGGCGAAGCACGACGCAACGCGACCGAGTGCGAACTGAGAGAGTCGGCGCGTGCGGCGCGATACTGCCGCGGCGGCGCACATGTGTAGGACTGCGTGCCATGCGATATTTGCCCGCCCGCCCGCCTGCCGCCGCCGCCGCATTCTCGCGGGACGAGCTGAGACTGGTGTGTGCGCCCAGTAAGCAAAAATGTTAACTATCCTTACTCGTGCGTTATAGGTAATCGCGCGATACAAAGGAAACACGTTGAGTCGAACACGATGCTCGATATTACTTTTCTCTGAAATTCGGTCGGATACTTGGATATTTCTGTTCGATTATTAACCGATTGATCGGACTGTTTGACAAAGGAAGCCCTCAAGATTTCATATTGCTTTAACTGGCAATGGAAATTACATAAACCTAATTGTTTTATGCAAAACTTTTGGTTTTTGAGGCTTTTGTCTCTGTGTTATTCACGGTAATCTTACTGACAATACTGGCAGTATAAGGAACTTTAGCGGATTTCTGCTAGTTTTTCATTAATGTATGGCATTTTCTATAAAAATATTTCATTGGCATTATTTATAAGTATTTGTTTAAAAGAATGTTTTGTTCTTCTTTTGCTAATGGAACATCTACTTGCAGAGGAAATGTTATATGCAATGTAGCAATTATGGCAAGCGATGCAACAGATGCTAAAAAATTTTAGGAAAATATTATTGATTGCAACATGCCATTACTTGAATTTTCATTGATGTCAGTCTGGAAAGCAAGCACTGATTCAAACTTGATTTTTGATACGTCTATCAAAAAGTTCAACCTAGTTACCAGTAAAGCTGAAGTAATTTCTATGGCAAAATTTTAACAAATATAATGTAGGTCAACTCGACTCAGATCTTGTACACTCTTTAGCTATACCTGTTGGAAAAGCAAGATTGAAAGATAGAAAATGTTAAAAGAGTTTCAAAAGTTTCATAGTGTTTCAAAAAAAAACAGCTTCATTTATTTCCATTTCATAAAGAACATGAAATATCAGCATGAAAAATATTAAGACAATTATATACTCAAATATAAAGATGACTTAGTTATTAAAAATGGTATCTTTGGGCTTGGTTCTTTTCTTATATAAGATCAATTTCATCTAAATTTGACTAGCGTGGAAAAAAAACTGTCTTTTCATATCAAGCATCTTACTTTAACTGTGATGAAAGTTTTGTGAAGATCAAATGGTAAAATTTCAAATCATATGTTAAAACCAATAATACAGCATGAATATTGATTGTAAATGTATAATAATATACGTTATATTAAAACCCACTTTAGTTATTTTTAAAAATATTTTATTCAGGTAAATTCACTGTTACGTACATTAATCCTGAATTTATGAAGTCTTATAATGTAAAAAGTTAAGTTTTGAACTTGATGTTACGTACAGATTGCAATTCACTCTCTATTGTCTTTACACATAGTATTAAACTTAATAATTATAAAAAAATGAAATATTTATTTAAATTGTTTGAGGTTTTCTGCATTTATTTTGAACTAAATACTAATTGCTAAATAAAAACTGAGACTGAGAAGATATATTTAGAAAACACTCGGAATGCATGAAAATTCTTGTATTAGTAGTCTCTCTCTCTCTAGAGAGACTACTCTCTCTTCTAAAGAGAGAGAGAAAAAAGAGAGAGAGAGTACTAACATTATGTACTTAGCATCAAATTATAACATTTTTATTTTTCCCACTCTGACGTAACATTTACGAAAATCAGCTAGATTGTGGCTTTATAGCTATAATCAGATACCGCCAGGCCAATGCAACATAAATCCTTGAAACTCAGTTGCCAGATGATCTTTTCACAGCAGAGAATCGGCAGCTGGTACTATATATAAAGAGAGCCAAAATTACTTTCTTTAAAGCTGCTAGATCTGTTATTTCTAGAGAGTATGCAATAACTCTGAGATAAAACTCCTTGGCACGTGGGTTGATTCTGGTAGAATTAAATACACCCCAACGAGTCACAGCTTTAATTAAGTGGTTTCTGTCCCGTTTGACTAAGGTTCTGGGTAATACTTTGGAATCGCTCACCAGCACTGCTAAACACATATCCAAATACTGTTTGTAGAAAATATTATTGAAGGCCAAGCAGAGTGCATTCAAAAGTGCTTTAGAGCAGTCTGAAACTACCTCATGTGGTACTGATGCTCCAGATTGAATCCAAGCCAGCAACCACATGAGGATAGTTTCAGTGTCGTGCTTGCTTGACATCATCTGAGTCAAGGAAAATATTTTATGACCAACTTGTACACATAAATTGTACAAGAAAATAGGTCCACTAAACCGGTTATCTACTATCATAACTTTTTTTGCAAACCTCCCAGCAGCATCTATTGAACAGGGTAACTTTAACTTTTTCACTTCATGCGATAGCTGTATCTGATTTTCAGTCCAATACCAGACTATGATGGGGTCACTTGACACTTTCCTAACGCAAGGATTCTTGTCCATAATTAGGAGCAGTGAGTCCAGAGGATTGCCAGGATAATCTTTTAAATTCAACTTTTCATCTTTGGCTTCTTGTCTAGCCATTTTTAAGACTGGAGTACTGTGGTTGAATGGTGGACCGGAACCATTGTCATTTAGATTTGTGGCTGCATTCGTATGCCTGTACAGAATGGGTTGTTTATGAATTAAAATTTCTTTTGCTGCTTGTCGACGAACATTGGCTAATCTTCTGGAGTGTTTATGGATGATCCCCACAGTGTTTTTGGTTTTGATGTGAATCGTAACTTCATCACCATCAGCAGGTTTTTTGAGACATTTTCCATTAATTATATTTGTACATCTACAATCTCCTTTGATTGTAAAGTATGGAGAATTTTTTTTTTTGTAAAAATACTGTTTGTCGAAACTAAAAGGACATGGAATTTTAATTACACGCCAGATGCCATCTATAATTACATCACCCCAGCCTTTTGTCATCCTCAACTGAATCCTATCCTTTTCTTGTCTTTCAATCGGTTTTATTAATTGCCATTCTTCTGTGGTTAGATGTATGTCAAACTCGATATCAGCAGGCATATTTGCTTTTTTTTTTTACTTTTTTTTTTAATTTACACGAAACTTCACACTTAGGCACTTTCGCACGGAACAACAAAAAAATGAATCACTTTTATCGTGTAGGACAAGAGAAAAGCGTAAGAGAAAAGTATAAGAATACTTTCTGTGAAAAGTTGGACTTCTTTTTTCAACATTATTATATTGAACTCTATTTCAACTATTGAAAGATATTTACGAAAGTAGAAAATTTTTGGTTTTGTTAAAATAAATATTTTTAAATTGCAGCTTTTTATATTACCACAATTATTAATAGCGTCAAATGGATCATCAGTATTCGTTTTTATAAATACACACGAATAGAAATATTATAGTTACGTACTTATGTTTATTTAAAATTGGAAGGCAAGGATGCTACATTTATTATTAGTTATATTTATCATCAATTATCCATAATTCATTTTGTAACACTACATTCAAATTATACAAGAATTTTGCACACAGGATTATAATAAACAAAATTATCATATGTTAGTAATTGAATATGTTTTAATCAACCATAAACTTCTAATAATTATTTTTTATATTCAATTGAGTTGAGTAAAAAATGTAATCCTAGTCTACATTAGGTCTGACTCCTTGACTTCTGAAAAAAAATAAGAAAACTACTTTCAAAGTTTATTCATTTATGATCAATTTTAACTTGAAAAGATAAAAAAAAATTAGCGTATGTTCTTAGAAATTATATTAAATTTCAAAAATAACAATTAATTTATGCATGATGTCTTTTTTTAATAATATTTTCTAATTTTATTAATAGTTTATAAAAAAAGGAGTCTTTTAGTAGCATCATCAATGTTGATTTTAATGAGGATATAGAATTTCATGGATACAGTGAAAATTCAATTGTTGAACTTTTCATATCACTATTACTTCATATCAATAATAAATCTGTACAAAATATATTTTTTTTATTTCAACAAACTACAAATACATGCCATTCAAAATAAATTTTTAAAACATCGTTTACTCTCAGAGTAATATTTATTATTTATGGAATGATACATTAAGTGCATTAAATGCACAATGATAGCAGTATTGGTCAGTGGTAAAAAATACTATAATTTTTATATAAAAAACAGTAAGTGATACGAATTCATTTTTTTAACAATCTTAATTAATGTAATGCTTATTTTACACATTACAACGTTTAAGATACATACCTATAATTATGATTTAAATAATCTCTAGAATTATAATAAAGTATAAGTTGAGTTGATACATGTAATAATTAGTTGGTAATTTTTACATAAAATAAAATTTTAATTCTAACAATAGGAAGAATTCTCAGTTTTATAATTTGTTTTTCTACATTACTTCTTTTATCCCAAAAATTATCGATACTTCTACAATAAGTTAAATTATCATTCGAATTATCGTTTGAAACTACTGCAACTAAAGCAAATATATTCGATTCATTTGTTGCATCTCTAATATTTATTTGTTGCGGTATTTCTATGAGGTTCATTTTTACATTGTAGTCGGTTAAATCGAAAGCGACATAAGCCCGAAATTCAAACGAAACAAGACAGTACTCGTTGCACGTTTCACAATTAATTACAAAATTTGAACAATAATTTTCAACATATTCTTCTAATTTTTCCATGTCAAATTCAGTTCGTCGAAATTTGATGATTGTCTGGTTATCCAAATGAAGTTCATTACATTCAGTGCATAAACCTGTTATTGCTAAAGAATAGTGAATTTGGACTAATTTACTAAAAATACATGCCACATCGTCATTGATAGTAACTCTATCTCCTTCTGAAACTCCCAAATCAAGCATTAAATGCGCTCTAGTCTTATAAAATGATGTTAATCTTCCTGAATTCAAGGACTTTATAATAGAATTAAAAATACAAGTATCATTACAGAGTTTGGAACATTTAACATACAAACTCTCTCGATAATTCTTATAATTAAGATATGAGAATTTTATTAGTTCACTAATGCTGTCAATTGTATATGAGTTTCCAAATTTATAAGCTTTTCTTCTTATAATTTTAGTTCCTCTTGATTCTTCATTAACAATTAATTGCTCTTTCAAATTATTTGTAGCGGATGATTGCTCATGAATTATCTTCATGCTCGGGCATTTAGTCAAGTATTTACTTTTTTTTTCTTGAACTTGTTGAGTTTTTTGGTCTTCAGTGGTTTTCTTGCCTGAATGTAATTTAAAAACTGAACATTTTGTAAAGTATTTCCAGATTGAGTTTCTAAATCTACTGAATTGGATTTTGATTTTATCACCATTGGACTTAAACGGTCTTGTTTTGATTCTTCAATTTCCATAGCTATTGATTCATCCACTACTGAACTTTCAACAATATTTTTGTTTGATTCTTCAATTTCCATAGCTATTGATTCATTCATTACTGAACTTTCATCAATATTTTTGTTTGATCCTTCAATTTCAATAGCTATTGATTCATTCACTACTGAACTTTCATCAATATTTTTATTTGATTCTTCACTGTCTAAAGTTGCGGGTAACTTCTCTTCAACATCAATATTATCTTTATCATTTGGATTCTTCAGACCCATCCAAGTTTCTTCATACGCCAGGCAATAATGGTTTTCATATTGAATCGTTTCTTTCTGAGCGGCTTTTGATTTTAATCTGATTAATCTTCCTTTTTGTAGAAGTAATTTAATATCTTGGATGTCATATTCAAGATATTTTGTTACTTGTAGGGGCATACAATCCAATTCTTGGAGTTTTTTCACTGTCTTGCTAGCTGGCGACGAAGCAGAGTCAAAAAAGTCAATAGGACAGATAATTTTAGTCCAAGAGGGAAACAATCTTAAAATAACTATGAGTTCATCATACAACTGAGGTAAGTAGTAACCATTTAGTTCTTTCTTACTTGAATTTGAGTTATGCATGGCAAGCACTGACTCTTTTATACTGTCTATGTAGTGTATCACTTCACACTTTTCTTTTTCTACAGCTATATGTTTAGTGTATAAAATCTTGTTCAGACTTTCATTATTTCTGTACGATTCGAAGCATTTGAACTTCTCCTCATTTTTCTTGAATTCACTTTCAAGAATATCCTTGCACGTATTTTCATCAGGAGAGAACATTATGGTGAAAATGCTTTTCAGTTTTTCATCAAAGTCTACTTGATTGACACATAAACTTAATAAGATAACACAATTAATATAAAATTCCTTAGCCAGATCTGGTTTGTCTATAAAACACTCAAAATGGTCCACAGCTATTAAAATGCTTATCACATCAACACACAAATTAACCTTTGGCGGCTCACAATTTTTGAAACATTTGAAATTATACTCTTCAAAAGGACACTGATTTAATGCTAAGCAAATCCCATCGATGAGTGCTTGATCATAAGTGACTATTATGTATTTAGGCAACGGAACATTGAACTTTAATATTCTAAGTAAGAAATTTTGTATAAAAATTTCATTCATCGATTCGGTTAAAGCTTGAGCAAATGGAATACTTTCATTTCCAAGTTCACTGCACAGATAAATTTTTGATAATTTTTCACTTATGTGACTCTTCATTCTGGTTTTTTCAATTATTTCATTAAGTAAAATAATTGACAGTGAAGTTTCTGAAGTAATGACTTTTTTCAAAAGATCCAATTGCTCCTTGGAAAAGTATATAATTTCAAGTTTGTTTGATGAAATGGAATTGATCATTCCGAAATACTTTACATTGTACTTCATTGCATGAATAGCATCAAATTGATCAATATAGAAACACTCCTCTTGTTGATTAGAATTGTCTAGAGTATTAGTAGTTTCAAAGGTATTTTCATTATCCCTGCATTCTTCAACATATTTGGATTCAGTTATCTGAATACTTTTATCTTGATTGTATGAAAAAAAGGCTTTCAATCTGTCTTGAATACCATTGTTCTTCTTTTTATTTGAAGTTCTATTTTGCTGTACTCGTACATATAAATTATGCACATTTATTTTCGGAAGTTTTTGAATGATTATTTTCCATTGAGGATGGCGTTCCTTCGTTAAATTGCCATTGTTATCGAAAATTTCAGGATGCTGCTTCAAAACATCGAAAATTTCATCGTCCGAAGTTAATGCAATAGCAGGCATATTTTTTCCCCTTTTTTTTAAAAATTGGCACTTCCGCACGGAACAACAAAAAAATGAATCACTTTTATCGTGTAGGACAAGAGAAAAACGTCAAAGTCGGAGCAGTTCGAATTCGTCGAAAAGAGCGCGCTTGCCGAGAATTTGCGGACGGCAGCGCCCTTCATCTGAGTTGGCTGTGCGAGTAGCGCGGAATTTGAATATTTAGTCTGTCGCCAGTTACGCAATAAATGAAATCACTAAAGTCACTATCACTCTAATTTCATAACATTAAGTTTGAAATAATCAATATTCAGGTTGAAGATGCTGATAAGTCTCAGTGATGATAGGCGGTAGTAGATCAGGTTCTTGTTAGACAGGAAGAAAAATCGAGGAAAGGCTATCCTCTTGGTCTCGAGATAAGCCTCGAGGCACTTGAGTATCTTGTCGAGGCTGCGATTGTTCTCGGTGAACTGCTCGTCCAGTCCCGGCTGCGTGCAGTTCTCCAGCGCCAGGAGCATATTCGCCACCTTCTTCCTCATGATGTCCTTCCAGGACTTGTCGACGGCGATGAAGAGCTTGGCCTCGATGGGCAGCTGTCGCTGTATGTCCGACGCCGAGAATATCGCCTCGAGGTACAGCCACTGCTGCTGGAAGTACTGCCAGGCCTCCAGCGTCCTGGCGAAGAGATCGAGCCGCTTGAGCCAGTCGTCGACTCGCGGCTTGATCGGGGCCATGTGCCTCGACGCCGCTATCGTCTGTATGGTGATGTCGCTGTCGTCCAGGGCGGTCTGCACCTCTTCGAGCGAGCCCAGCACGAATATTTCCTTGGCGTCCTTGTGGTTGTTGACGACGAACTCGATGATCTTCCAGGTCTCCTCGATCTTGGCGAGCATCGCCTCGAGGCCTGCCTCGGAACTGACCGAGCTCGATATCTCCATGAGCTCGTTCTGATAGCCGAAGGCGCTGAGGTCCTCAATTATGCGCAGATTCAGAGGATCGCTTGGCTTGAATTTGTAGTTGAGCAGGAGCTCGATTTTCGTCCAGTGACGCTGTCGTAAGTTCGGATTGCGCAGGCAGACGATTATCGGCATTTTGTCCTTGAACGTCTCGACCTTTTCTGCGCGTGGACAATGATAGTGAGTCAACGCGAAATATCACGCAGAATCGAACGAAATTATATAGATACCTTTGAGCTGCGGCACGATGACGTTGACCGGCAAGCCTTTCTCCAGCTGCATGATGTTCTTCAGATTTTTCGTCACGAAGTTGTTCATGTCCTCGACGTTGATAGTCTCGAACTCGTCCTGGTACCACTTGGCGATGGTCGTGTCCCAGGCCAGCAGACTGTCCCACAGCATGAGCTTGAGCTTGACCTCGTCCACCACCTGCTCGAGTATCTCGAATCGCGTCATCTCGATCTTGAAGGACTTCTGGAAGCTGCGATAGTCGCTGGCCAGAGACGGCGAGCCATGATCCGTCGCGCTGACGAGCACAGTGTACTCGGACGAGATTCTTTATTTCATTTTTTTTGTTCGGCTCCAGCTGCAGCTCCGTAAGATGAGCTTTTATTTATTTCCGACATTCCAATAGTTTTGTACATTAGCAAGAAAACTGAAAGAATGAAAAAATTAATATATTTATTTCCTCAAAGATTGACTCTGATTTATGTATAAATATTACTTGCATAGAATTATAATACCAACTCCAATAGAAAAGAAGCATAATGAGCCTGACAAAAACAGTTTGACTAAATAGTATGGGTACAAGAATAACTATTGACCAGAACGCAGTGTTGACAAAAGTCCACATTCTACGTTCTACCTTGAATGAATCTACTTTAGGTACCCCACTAGTAGCAAAAAAGTCTCCACTTTCTAAAAAGCTTTCTTGCATTCGGTCCTGAAAAATATTAATAAATTCTTAATTAGTACATTACTTAACATAATTTTTTATTATAAGTATTAAATTTAATTATAGATTTCTGAAATTTTCAAACATACCTTAACTTGATAAATGTTATGTAGTCATTGTGCTGCTTCTTCTTCATTTTCAGGCACAGAGTTAAGGGGGATTCTGTTTATGTACATATGTGCTTCAACTTTTTTTCCAAGTAGAAGATTTGTCATAGTAGGTTTAGTTGTCTCTGATGGTTTGAAAGCTAATTGAATATCATAAATAGCATCAACTTTCCCTCGAAGATGAGGAATACTGGCTGTAAAACCTCTTGTTCGAGGGGTTAAATGGTGTTTCAAAACGGGTAAACCCTTCTCTTTGGCAAACTTTTTACTAGCCTCTACTTTTTCAGGGGTAAAGCGAGTACCTTCCGCATACAGTAAAAGCTGTAATTTAATTATAAAACATGTATTTTTATTTTCAAAGTCTTTTGGTTCTAATTGTATTCATCGACTTTTAATTTACCCGTATTGAATCAGGATAATCAGCTAATTCTCTCATTTGAGATCCAATAACCTCTTTATCCTTATCCCAACTTCGCTGCAAGAAAATACTTTCTGCAAATTTCCAAGCCCATCCAAGAGTAGGAATATACTGGATTGATTTCTTAGCATATGCTTTGCAATTCTAAAAATAATGATTATAACAATTTCAATATGATAAAATTTAATTTTCTCTAATGGTTTAAACAAAACTTACTCCTAAAACTTTTATGCGTTCACAAAAAACCCATCCAATTAACCAATCAATTTCGTAGCTATATGGTTCATTAGTAGTTCATGACCATAATATTTATCAAAGTCTTTTTTATCTATGTACAAAATTATATCAGCTCCAGCCCACCATTCTGCCATAAATACTAATTCTAAAATACAATGAAATAATGGATTATTTTGTATACTTACAAAATTAAATTATAATATAATACTTACGACTGTAGAATGAATAGCCCAAATAGTAGTTAATTTTATAAAGATAAGGAACCCATTTTGAAACTTTGAACTTTTCACTGTGCGTGTAGAAAAATGTTGATTTCTGAAAAATAAAAACATTATGCCTTGATAAATACTTCAAAATTAACAGAAGAGCATAATTAATTTAACAAAAGTAAAAAATCAAAACATCAATGATAAAAAAAAACTTTTCAACAAGATTAAAAAGAATTATAGGTTGTATCCTTGTTGATTCTGTTTACATAATGCTAAGCTCCATTCTTGACAAGTATATTAATAGAAAATATCATAAACACAAAAAAAATGAATAAAAATAATAATATCATTATGTTAAAAATATGAGAATATGAGAATGAGTTGTGGAATACCTGACAACTTGTTATGGCTCCTATATCCACCAGCTCCATCAGACAGATCTTTAACTTAAAGCAACGCACTCAAGAGATATCGAGGAGCGCGTGTCGCGCTCCACCTGGCAAGTATGACAGGAACTAAGTGACGACACGCCGTCGAGGAGCGCGTGTCGCGCTCCACCTGGCAAGTATGACAGGAACTA